CCTCTCCTGACAGCCCTTCGTGGGCTGCTCGAGGCACCGGAGGCCACCGCCAGCCCCTCTGAACTTCGGTGGGGACAGCCACAGCCCAGCCCCTCAGCTTGGAAACTCAGGGTTAAGTAAGGCGAAGGTTTATAACCAGGTAGGAATGTCTGTTGAGCCCTACCCCAGGTGTAAGCGGGGGTTTTTGGTCCTCACAGCACAAGCTTTATTCCTCTCACATTCACCAAGGCCGTTTTCGTGCCCTCCAGCTTTGAAACAAGAGTCTCGAGAGTTACGATGCAAAGGAGAGATTGTGTGAAAGCGGCGTCAGGCAGAACCCAGCTTAGAACAGAACTGATCAAGCTTAAAAATTACGCTACATTCTGTTTTTAAAAAATACTCTTTTCCACAAAAAGCAGTATAATACATGAATGTTACCTTATAAAAACCTTCAATGATAACCAAGGGGTCAACAGTCATTTCCGTAGAGGTTTTGCTTATATTTCCCTTAATAATATAAATTACAGATGGCCTAAATTATAACATTACATAGCACTTTTTCAGGGCATTCATGCCTTATGTCATCTGAAGCTGCAAGTTTATGTTTTCCATAATGGCTATCAAAGGCAATGTCAAGACTTTCTTAAACTAACCTGCTTGTAAAGGATTTATTTCACAACCTATGGGTTACTTCTTCATCCAAGAATATGAGGATAATTTTTACCAAATGAAAACTGCAAGAAATACATGATTGCTCTAAGTGTTATACCAACCATGTTACCAGGTTTGAGCATAATCATTAATTGGAAAGTTATCACTGGCCATGAAATACACAAGAACACTTAACTGCCTCCCACAGTGACCATGAAAATACAGAGAATGATGGTTTAATTAGTAATCCCAGAGATACCAGGCAGTGCTCACAAGCTAAAGAACTACCAGTGTTATTGCTGTGGAGAAGGCGGGACTCGAAACCTTTCAACCTGTCTGTTCAGCCTTAGGCCTTTGCTGTCAAAGGTGACAGCAGTGATTACAGCCTGGAATTACCAAATTATTTTATATAGGCCCTTGACAACAACGCTGCATCATATAGTGAAAGGTCTCTTTCCTTTCTCCCTTTTCAAATGCCTTACTTTGCTCCAGTGCCTATGCAGACTTCAGTCAGAAAGTATTTCTCATTTACGTGACCTAGATAGAATAATAGTGAGAAAGAGACATTCCTTGATCTTTTTTTTTCTGTTGGTTTGCTATATTCAGCCTGGAAGAAAAACATAATCATGGGAATGCATTGTTTCTTTTATGTCGGTATTAGGAAGCAATGCAAGGTAGATTGGGGGATAGATCTAGGCAGAAGGTTTGCAATAAATGGACAGAAAACCACATGGAATAACTTCAGGGATTACACAGGTTTGGGGTTTTTTTAAAAAAAGTTCCTTGTTTAGTGACTTTTCAAACTTGATTTTACTACAGTGACCTATAGCTGAAATAACTCTAAGCTAGGCAGTTTAACTCTAGCGCAGCTATGTTTAGAACCATGTCAGTAGCATGGATGATAGCTGAGTGCAATGGGTGGCTTATTCCATGATTACTGATTTCAGAGTCATTACCTCAGCTGGCATACTGGACAACCTATATTAAAAAGTGCTATGAACTGACTTGAACTGTCGTTACAGAAATAGTCTGAATGCATCTGGACTCCATTTGGCCTTGGCTATTGCTCAGTTGTATCCATTACTGCAGTCAGTTGCAGGTTCCTTTTTTGATCTAGACAACGCTTCCCATGTTTCTGTGATATTCTTATGTGACAGCATGTGAGAAATAAACCTTTCTTGAAATAACAAAGCAAGAAACAGAGGAAATACCCAGGTACAATCTTCCATGGGCTGCCACAATGAACATACCCATGAGATAAGTTAAAGGAGCATTTGTCTGGGTTTAGAAGGATTTGTGACAAACTATGGCTACGCACACCGGTCTGTGCAACAGATAATGAAGCTGAATAAATCATCTGCTCAAGAAGGGGAGAAACAGAGTTACCGTTTTTAACAACTTCAAATATTTCATTCCAAGAAGTAGTACCAAAAGTAGATGGTTGTCCAAAAGGTTGTAGAATCCCAAATACAGACAAACCGTGACTAGTAATAGTAAAGAAGATTATCTAATAGTCAAGATCTTTCAGATAAATGGTAGTTACTGCCCAACCTAGCACCATGGTGGTGAATAACAGTATGAATAAATGAAAATGCGAGCCATCTTTGTGGTGAGGAGCCTCAGTAACAGGACATGAAAAAGTTTTTAAAAGTTCTCATTCTGAAAATGGAAGTACTGATTCCAAAGTAACAGTCTTGGGCTTCTTTTGTCATCCAAGGGCAATTAAAATGAGTGGAAGTATGCCCACTGACATTGATGGGCTTTGGATTCCATCCTCTTTCAAAAATATGTCAAAATATATTAAAAAAAAAAAAAAAAGTCTTTCCAGTCAAGCATGAGTAGGAAATATGCAACAAAAGGACATGGATAGAACATCTATCAAACTACAGGAATTAGGGAAATAGTCCAAATAATCATGAATGAAGATTATTTCATGTAATTGTGTCCAAATACTACACTCATACACAACATAGCTTATCTCAAATTCTTCCATGCTTGTATTGAACTTAGAAGAATTTACAAGAGGTGATCATTTTGTGAAAGTCATTTTACGAAAGCAGAGCCTCAAAACGAGCAGCTTGTACAGTTTCCAAAAGCTAACAGAAATATTCTGAGTATCTCAACTCTCGTCCACTATTGCCTAAAAAGAGAAGTATTGTGTATTTGAAATCTTTGTCATTATTATGTCCATTGTAAACAGCTATTTAGACAGAACTGAAGCTACTGAAAGTGGTCTCCCAAAACTCATAGAGGAAGCTGGCATGCTGTTCAGCTGGAAGCAGCCTTCTTGAAGTGAATTGATGTGAATCCTTTTGTAAAGGAGATCTGTGCTCTGAGCACTCAAAATACATCATAGCATACTAATCACACTACTTCCCAAAGCAAAAGAAAAATAAAAAAAGACAGAGTGCATGAGTACTGAGAATGGTACATGTCTTTGGAGACATTTAAAGGCAGGGACAAGGGGGAAGGATGCCTGTCTGCATCCTTATCTATATAGACTTAAAGAAGAACCCTGGAACATAAATATTCCATTTGTATTTTATGTTCCCCCATATGAGAAAGAAAGGAGAGATCTCAGCCTAGGTAAATTAACACAGCTCTGGTGGAGTGAGGGGGACGTGGTAACAATATCATCTTCTTACCCTAATGTGCTGGTGGAACTTGGAGCAGCGCAGGAAGAAAAGGCACGGATGAAAGATTGCTGAAAAGAAAGGTGGAACTGCTTTGTTCTGTCTTTTTTTCTGGAATCTGAGTTTCTCCCCCTAAAACAAAACTGTGGCTCTGCATACCTCAGACAATGGATCAAGCAGAAAACACGCGCTTCTTCAACTGCATGATGCAGAACTCATGCTGATTGAGGGGCAAAGAGTGACAAAACACTCCAAAAAGCGCTGTTTGGCACATCGCATTAAAATGTTTCACCTTCATCTTATGGAAGGGTAGTAAACTTCAGGATTAGGAATATTTACAACATTTTTTTCCTCCCTAACAAAAAGGAGATTGACGGATGGTCCCAGTGCTTTGAATCAAAATACTTGCTATACTTGTCTATATTAAAGTGCTGTAGTAGTAAAAATTGACTCTTTGATGCTGTCATTCTTTCACTATAGAATGAGACGCTCGTAGGAGGAAATATATTGGCTCTGCATGTGGCCAGAAAAGAAGAGTTTTCTTCCAACAGTTTTTTTCTTGGGTAAGACTTTTTATACTGTGTTTGACATTCTGAATTGCATGATTACATAGTGTAAGTCTCCAGCAACATTCTGTATTGTGAAGATGGAGCTGCTCAGCATTTTGCCAGATGCCAAGCGATATTCTGATATTTCTATCTTCTCTTTAAACTGAGTGACAGTCAGCATATTCACAATGAAGCCAAGACAATCTGCTATCAAGTTACAGTAGTGATATTTTCCCTGTTGAAGATCCCAGAGCTTGCTGGAATAAAGCTCCTTAAAACTCAGTGGCTGGAATAGCTCCAGCTTGAATTGCGCTCTGTGGAATATAATTTTATATTTATGCCAGTCTAATAAGTAGATCACTGGGTAGAGGCTTTTGTAAGTAAGTCTATACGTACTGCACCATTTCCTGGCTCCGTGCTCCAGTGTGTTGCAGGCTGCGTGCAGTGGGGGAGGTGCCAGAGCTGATCAAGCAGTGTAATTTTATACATTACTGAATCAGTGCAGGAGAAACCTGGAGGGACAAAGCATCATCTTCTCTTTGGACTGCACTGTAAAATCCTACAGCTCTCTTAGCCCAGCCATGCTCTGATACATTTTTTTTTCTCTCCTTTTTCTGATTTTGGTGTGAATGATAAAGTGATCTGATGATGGCTCTCGTTATGGAACCTATTAGCAAGTGGACGCCCAAGCAGGTAGTGGATTGGATGAAAGGTATGATCATTTATTACCATGTATTGTCTGTACTTTGGATCCTTGCAATTTACATATCTGCTCTTGTATTCTTTGTTTTGGGAAGAGTTTATTCAGTTTTAATAATCCCTGTGCTGCTTTGCACAGTAGTTTTTAAAGACACGACTGAGCAGAGAGGCTGTTTAAGCTGTGCAGCATGTTGGTGGAATTTCTGCTGAGAACTGAGTAGGAATCAAATGCATTTGTTGGTAAATGCAGACATAAAGTGTTTGTGTCTCATGGCTCCATTATGCACTGCACAGTGTAACGTTATTATGTTTGGTTGCTTTAAATTTGCCCTGATTAGGTCTGTTTTGCTCATATCAGGTGATCTGATGCAGTGGCTGTGCAGCACTTGTGTGTAGTTTAGGGTACCACAAGGAGCATAAGGTGCCGGTGACTGGACTGAGGGCTTCTGCTCCTTTAGTGACATGCCCTCATTTGTCCAGGCTTCCCGGCTGCTCTTGCTCGTGCTGCTGTCGTGTCTAACGCACCCGTGTCCCCGTCCGTCGCGGGTACCGTGGACAGTGCAGCCTGTGCCGTGCGTGGGGCGTGCAGGGGGAACGCGCAGGGCTGAGCACAGCTTCGCTGGGGAAACTCTTCCCGATAACTTGACAGGAATGATGATTTCCCTGCACATTCGCAGTTTCACAGCACAGCCGTAAGCTGTGACATGTTTTGCCTTACAATGCTCGGCTGTGCTGCAAAGAGATTGGGTTGGATGGGAGGGTGAAGTATCGTTTGTGATGATAAGTGTTTTAAATTTCTCTAGAGTGGGGAAAAATGTATTTCCTCAGTAGGATGCATTAGCGTTGTTATACATTGCTTCTGATGAGCTGTCTGTCTTAGACACAAATAATTTCTGCTACAAGGGTTCTCCATTATATAAGGAGAAGAGGTGCAAATTTTGTTTGTACGTTACTCACGGAAGTAATTTCTGTAATGTGATTACTAAACTTACTGGAGGGTTGAATTGGATGCCCACTGTAACATCCTTAAAGCTTTCAAAGTATTATCGTGAAGAAGGAAATGGTTTTGATTTAGTTTTGCTGAGATACGTCTCCCTACTTAACTGAAATTGGGCTGTTAGGTGCTCATCAGACACATTACAGTTATGAGCAAACTATTCTTTTACAAGCACAAGCATTATAAAGCTAATGGTATCTAAGGGAATGTATGGAGCTTGTTTCTCAGGTGTTTGTGAACTCAGGTTAATTGGGAGGTCTTAGGCAGGTCGTTGGGATGGTTCCCAAAACCATTAGATATAGGATTGATTCATACTCCAATGTCATCACTTGAAATCAATTCCTAAGGTGCGTGCAGAGGAGAGTTTTCTGATCCACACCTTTATTTTTAGTTTGTAGAAGATTTAAAAAGTGGACAAATCGTTATGCTGTTTTAATTCATTACTTGGATTATAATATAAATTAAATGTCAATGTGTGTATAGTACTTGCTGCTAAATTTAAAACTACTTCCTGCTACTTTTTTATCCTTTTTGACGTAAACTTAGGTAACATTAATCCATAGCATGCATAGTGCATATCATGGGAAGCAAGAAGGTCATACAAACAAAAGGTTTTGAAATGTATGGAGTTGCCTGACAGTTAAATTTCTATACAAAGACTGCATACTGCATCCGTAGGGACGTCTGGAGTAGACAGTATTGTCAGCTGTGTGCCTCTGGGTTTAAGCATAAATAAGTATAATGAAATGAACATTGAAGTGTTACAGGTACTTTCCTTGGTAACATGAGTGCTACAGATCCACAAACAGTAAAGTTGTTCATTTGTCCTTTTTTACCATGCTAATATTGCAAGCCCCTTTTTTATCCCGGTGTTTACCTTTATAAATGCATAATTCGGTTGTAGCCATAGAAAAGACCTAATATGCACAAATGGAAGCATACCAGAAATAGTTTAAAACTACTTGTAAAACCCTTACTTTACAAAAATTGCCCAACTGTGGCCACTCTTTACCTGTAATTTACATATATTCTGTATGTCAGCTCCATTAGCTAGAGTCATCCTGCTAAATAGCTGTTCATGCATTAGAGAGGTCGAAGGTCTGCACGGGTAGTAACGTTCAAGTAATAAGGTAGCTTTTACATATGTCTTCTGTACTGAAAGGTACACTTTGACAGCATTAAAAGATATAGTAAAGACATTTTAGAAAAATTACCATGCTATGAATGTGGAATATTCTCTTTGCTATAGAATGCAACATGTTAATAAACAATGTAACAAATACTGCAAGTGCAATATACCTTTTTTTGGCTTAAAAATATGTAGTCAATTAGCTTTATGTGTGAGGGTTGTAAATGATAACATATTTCATAGGGAAATTATAGTAATATACTATATCTTTTATAGTTGAATTTGTCATAATTATTTAAGCTATTGTAACTTACTTTTAGAAACTGTTAGCAAAGTACATGTTTTGAAATGAACTAGCAGTAAGTACCAGCAACGTCAAATAATTGAAGAGAAGATGGAAGAAAGCCACAAAAATAATGTTAATAGTCTGGGACCTGGCTACCCAGAATGTGTCCTGGTTACAGAGTGCTGTTATCAGAAGCAGCTGTAGCCTAAGCCCCAACCAAGGGGAGACACCCTTCTGTTCTTTTCCTTAAGGAAATGTTAACTTGCCAAAAAAGTACAAATTGGTAGGCTTTAAGGAACATTATTATGACAAGTTGGCATCCTGTATTTATCCACAGTTCCTTTCTCGGGAACACATTCAACTGGAATTCAACTTGGGAACTGCATCTGATGGTGTGGACAACCTGAAAAGGCCATGCCAGTCTCTAGAGATCGATTCTCGAGGCTTACAGAGGATCTAGAAGTTAAGACTAGATATCTTTGCATTAAAGAAATTCTCTTTATCCAAAAATACTTTGTAAAGTTTAGCAAATACACAGCAGAAGGCACTGTGGTTAAAAAGAAAGTTTTCAAAAGACTGGAAAACATTAATTGTGAAGACATTTTTAATGACAGTTTTCAATTTAAATTTCTCTGAATGATTTTCACTTCAGAAAATGAGCAAGTATTTCTCCTGGTATGTACCCATTTCTTATATAACTTAGATGTTTTCCTGGGGATATGTACTGTGGACCCCAAAGGTACTTTAAGAGAAGGAACTTTGCCATTGCGGCACTTTTGGAAAAGAATTATTACCTGTAAAGCTTGCAAGTACATTAAGAATCAGAGTAGTTTTCAAACTCGGTCGGTTCTTCCTTTGGGGCTTTGGGGGAGCAGAGGGGAGGTCTGATGTCTTACTCCTGACTCTTATTTGCACTTAGGATTAATAAAAGCATGATGGTTTGTGTTTTCATTGTAAGTAGAATCTAAAAGGTATTCTCTGTACTTTTACAAATAACAGCATTGAAGATTTTGTGCTTCCTAAGTGAAGCAATTTACAAGTAGGTCATTTAAAATGTGAACTCATTTACAGTGAAGTGACACCTCTGTCCAAATAAATACTAACTTTTCAAAACAATCCAATGAAATGAAATGAAACAAAATGAAATGCAATGAAATACAGATGTGACTTTCCGAGAATGGAATGTTATTAAATAGCTGAAAATTAAAATAGGAAGCCAGTTATTTCTTAAGTACCTGTAAGTAATAACTCCACATGGAGTCAGTTATTCAAAGTCTTGGGGACTGGCAGCAAGGTTTGTCTGCCAAAGCAGCCTGCAGCGGAGGTTTCTCTCATGATGAATGCTCAGCTTCAGATACTCATTTCACAACTGCAACCCATTTTTTCCCCTTTAAATCTAGAATTTCTCCACTCTCAACAGGAGATGCAGACATGAAAAAATAAAAATTAATTCAGTTGGTAAACTGATTAACTGTGCTGCACTGATCCTGTGCAGAATAATTATATGTTTAGCTGAAGGGTTTTCCTTAGCATGTAATTCCCTGATTTCAAGCTGGCTCATAAAAGAGAAAGGAAGGGAGAGAGGGGGGAGCTGAGAGCAGGGAAGCTGATGACGTGAGTGGCCTTGTTAGCATTCATATCACGCAGGGCTCCGGCGAACCCCTTCTCAGTCTTCTCTTGCTCTTCATTAGATCACTACCTGTTCAGTAGCAGTATGTCATAGCCAGGGAGTCTCCTCTATTTGCAGAACGTAATATATAAAATCTTAGAGCGTATGGGAGACACAGCTAAATATTATGATCTACTGCAAAAGCAGCCTTACAGGTACTGAGCTGGATGACATTTAGGTTTCTTGATCTGCCTTCATGGCCTTAGAATCCCATAACGCAACAACTTGACTTCATAAGATACAATTTGAAACTTGAATAGATAACCCAGATCATACCTTATTTAGGACAATGTAGGGTTTATAGCATCTTTTCAGTTCTTTCTGAAGACAAATAGGTTTGGAAGAGAACTGAGAGCCACAAACAGAGATGCCCTCAGAATGAACGTTGAATTTTCAAGCAGTTTCATAATTTTCCTTCTGCTCTGAGCAATTTCAAAACCAAAACAAACAATTTACTGTTGTGGCTCACCATTGGATTACTGTGTTCCACTAGTACCACATCTCCAGTTGTCGCTAGGAAGTCACTGAATCAGAATTGTCTGCAGTTCCTCTCTGATTCCTCTTACAAGTTTCAGACTGTAGTCTATATAGTAATAAATGTTGGCAACAACTGCTCTATTGAATGTTGTAAACTAATTGCTTTAAGAGTGTCAGAAGAGCACACCTCAAAGTTGGCTGCTTTGCAATATAAGTGGTTAAGATCAGATCTTAAGAAGCGCGTTCCCAGTGTTAGGTACAGTTAAGCCATCTGGGCAGGTTTGGCCATTTCCTTTGTAGGGGTTTTGAACACAACTGAGAATAGGAAGGATAACTTAGACTCAGTACCCTCAAGGCTTTAACTATCATCGCTTTTAATTCAACCTGTGCACCACTGGCAGCCTGGACAGACAACAAAACACTTTGCTGAGTCCATTACTCCATTTTCTGCCTTC